TCTGTTGCATTCCTGGGCTTCTCTGTGCTAAATTCTCATGGCTATGTCACCAGCTTGTATCCCCTTTCCTTATTACCTATTTTGCCCTATGTGACTCAGAACATCCTGTTGCTGTACCGCCATCTTGGCCCCCTTCATGTTGAGATGCAATTCTCTGTGATCTTCTGGGCTGTGTCATGATGAGAAACTGCTCTTACAGCTTCAAGGAAGTGTGGGTCCTGAAAGCTGAATGGGCATCATTGTCAAGTATAAACAGGCTGCATAGAAGAGGTGGGTCCCAAGTCATGTCTGTGCCTATGGTCACATGTCCTGTAATCCTTCACAAAATGAAAATGGAGGGGCTTCCCTGCCACTCTTGTCTGTAAGGGTACCTCACTGGTCATCCAGATCCCCCTCTTGGCTGCAAATTTACAAAGGAGCATTGCAGGTAAAGCCTGAAGAAGAGGCAAACATGATCCAAACTGTGGATCTTGATCATGTCATGAGGGGTCATTTTCAGAAACATCTCCCTTGAGTCAACACTGGTTCCCAGATTTTGGAACTTGTCCCCAGATGCAATTACAGTATTGACCATGGTCAGCATTAAGCCAAAGTCATGTGACTGATAAATCAACTCAGGGCTGCCAGGGACAGTATTAGATGTGGGGCAGACACTCAAATACTCAGAACTGACGCTTCTGCTTCTGCATTTGGGGAAGGTGCAGTCTGAGGTCCCTGCAATGTTCTTGGTGTTGCCTGCTTTGGTCAGCAGCATTTTACAGAGAGTGACCACATGCTTAGTGCCATTACTGTCCAGCAAGTCACTGGTTTTCAGGGTCAGGTTAAATAATTCTTGACAAAGGACCTAAGTATCAGTCAAGGTTGTGACCTCAATGTCTAAGAAACTACCCAGTGACTCATAGAGCCATTCACAGCAGAGCAAATGTGCAACCAAAAGCGACCTGTCCCTAGATCAATACTGAAGAAGTAGACCCTGTTGAGCAGGAATAAGGTCTTTAGTGTTTTCTCTCATTTCTACTTGGACAAGAGAGAAAGAGGGGGATGTGGGCTAGCGCTGTGGCATAGCAGGTAAAGCCACCACTTGCAGTGCCAGCATCCCAGATGGGTGCCGGTTTGAATCCCAACTGCTCCATTTCAGAAACAGCTTTCTGCTGTGGCCTGGTAAAGCAGGGGAGGATGGCCCAACTGCTTGGGTCCCTGCACCCACATGAGAGACCTGGAAGAAGCTCCTGGCTCTTGGCTTCACATCAGCACAGTTCTGGCCATTGCAGTCAATTGGGGAGTGAACAAGCAGATGGGAGATTTCTCTCTCTCTCTCTCTCTCTCTCTCTCTCTCTGCCTCTCCTTCTCACTGTGTAACTCTGACTTTCAAATAAATTAATAAATCTTTAAAAACAAAAAAGAAAGGCAGGGATGGGGAAAATGGCCATAGAGCACCAGATATGGCAGAAGGTTGGGAATTCTCTGAATTTGTCTTAGCAGGACATCTTGAAACAAGGATGAAGAGGTGTTTCAAACCATGCAGTGGGCTTGACCTCATGTTTGATGGGCTGACTGGACACAGGAAAAGAAGGTTCAGTGTGACTAGAGTAACCATCACTTCTTCCAGGCCAGACAAGGGTTAGATGGGGGAATAGAGGTATTGCATGCAGTCTGTGAATAGGAGAGACAGGTGGAAAAGGGGAAACCTTTTTAGGGTTGTGGCAATGCCATCCTAGATGGTACCAGGGTGCACACTCCCAACAGTGACCAATTCTTGGTTCTAGCCCCCACATCAGTTTCAAGGTCAGATCCTATGGGTGGTTACTGTGAGTACAGAGCTCACTCACCCAGGAGCAGTCCATCTGTCCTCATGACAAGCCTCTCTCAGTTCCTACCAACAGTGCTGCATTCTGCCTGGAAGGAGCAGCCTGATGTCATGGCCAGTATCCCTATGGACATCAAGGGACCCTGCCTAGCCTTTGCTTCCTGTGCTCACTGCCCCTCCTAGATTATCCTTAAAGGGCCACCATATCCCTTTCCTCCTCAGTCTCCTTGTTGAATCATGGAGCCTAATGGGAACAATTCTGGTACTCCTGTAACTGTCCTTAGGGGGTGGATGGTACATACCTCTTCCTTATTTGCCTTTCAGTTAGAAGAAGCTGCCACATGACAGCACTCTGTAAACAAGGGAGAGAATGTGTACTTTGACATGAGCACATCATCTTGGAGGCTGAACTGAGTGACCTGTGGTTTTTGTGGTTTCTGAGTACACATAGTCCTCAAGCAACAGCAGTTCCTGTGGGACTCTAGGGGTGTTTGACCAAATCCACCTTTCCCAGAACACTGGCTTCCTGTCCGGTGATCATCAGGACCCATCCCATAGCTGTAGCACAACTGGAAATATGGGCATCTCTAAAATGAAGACTGGATGACCTGTAGTTGCAAAACTATGTCATTTAGGGTCACCCATCCAGCAGATCTAAGGACCCAATGTTTAAAATTTTCTGGATATTTTCTGCTCCATTCCCTCATAACTCCTAAACTGAGTTCAAGGGCACTCTAGGAAGGCCGGCAGCTTTGCTGCAATCATCACGTCTCCTTTTCCAGCAAAAATGTCAGGAGATCCAGAGAATACAAAATAGAGGTGGATGGTTCCGACTGGTGTTCTGGCTCCATATGCTCTTGCCCCACACCAGGACTTGATGTACAGTCCCTGCTGAAGGTGAAGTACTTGCTAATCCCAGGACTTGGAGAAATAACAATGCACTGTTTCACCCCTGACTCCCAGATACCCAATATCTGCTGGGACCCCACAACTTACCTAGGGTACCAGCCCCATGGTACTACACAACACCTGTGACATATTTAGAATAGAGCTCTTCTGGATGCCAAAGTGATCTGAGGACATATTACAATCCTGACAGCCAAACATGGTACAGGGTAGGAATTAGGAGTGGGAAATCAACCTCAGGACAGGGAAATACTGCTTGATGCAGAAGCAAACCCACATCCATGTCAACACTTCTGGCTAAAGGGGAGTTTTTCCCATAGGAACCTCACTGTCTTTTTCCACATCCAGGAAGGGCTACCCATGTCCAGGCTACTATGGTGCCTACATCCTCCCTGGTCCCAACAGCCATAGAGAGTGGCTGCAAAGGACAACCCACTGATAAGTCATGTCTGGGGATGCCTTTAATGCCCTCTCCCCAGTCACACCCACCATGCATCCCTCAGAAAGTCAGATCACAACAGCTGACCCACTGAGGGCTCCACTTCACCCTTTCTGGTGTCTGAAGCCCCACAATGACATCAGGCAAAAAGAAATACCCTACTCAGCCCTCACCATCATCAACTTTAGGAGATGCCTGTCTCTACCAGAGAAATTGAGATGTCTGCATAATCCTTGAGATGCTCCCTGGAATGTTCCTTCCCAATACTGGCTCTCACACAGAGTCCTTTCATTATTATAGGCACACAGAAGGGCAGGGATATTGAAGCCAGTATGGGATCTTACCCCAGATGCCAACCATAGACAACAGTGGCATCATGGAGTTCTGCTAACCCTATCGCAGTGATCTTCCCCAGGACATGAGAGTCCAGTGTCAGCCTCTTCAAATCTTCACTCCTCCCAAATAATTAAACTTCTAGCAGTAGGTACTGGGGATTTTTCCAGACTATGGGAGAAGAAGACATGTCTGTACCAAGTGTGCTATAGGCCTAGGTGAACCACTGTTATCATTTCTTGGACAAGGTGGGAATTTAGGTGCCTATTAGCTACGGCAGGATTAGAGAGTAACTCCAACTGCCTTGACTATATGGGGATCACCAGAGAATTGCAGTTTCAGGCCCACTCTTAAATTATACCTTCTACTGAGGGTCAATAGATTCAAACCACTAATTCATGTGAAAGTGCCCACACATTCACAGCTTTCATACACAGTTCAAGACATTCCTTCCCTCTGAGGGCCAGACTACTCTTGAAATGTACAAATTTCTGGTGGAGTGATCAAGTCCCCCTTCTGCCCATAGGGGCAGGCCTGTCTTTGACCCTGGTTCCTGACTGCTCTCACCTGTCTGGTGTTTCCAAGTACAATTGCCCTGAATCACTGTGAGTCTGAATGGGCACCAGTGATCAGGGAGGTAGCAGCCCTTGCCACAGGGAGGACTCTATCCAAAAGTCTTGGGAATGGTGCCTATTCATCTGTCCTACAGTGGTCACCTCCAATTCATTTGTTCCCTGTACCAATGGCACAATGGGCCAGCTCAGACAACTTCCTGGTCAGGAAATCAAATATTACAGATAAGACACCAAAGAAACTAAGCCACACTTGAAACTTTTAGGAGGAAAGGCAAACAGTTTATTACACATGCAGACTTGATGAGAATCATGTCCCAAGTGTCAAACTCAACTCCTAGCTCTCCTTTTTTTTGTATCATAAAATCAGAAAATTAAAGTGAAAGGGTTATTCCATGAGGCACCTAAGCAAGAAGAGATAACCATCTCAAGCATGTAACTGAGCTGACTAGAAAAGAGATATACTTTGGGAATTGCTGACATGCACATTGTTGAATAGTAAAACAAAAAAGTCCCTAAAATGTTCCTGAGCAGACAATCCCTGGCCACATCCTGTCTGAGCTGATAGGGGAAGATAATATGGGCTCCAGCCTTATAACAGGAATCATACCTGGCTGATGCTAACAGATAGCAATTTGGCTGGAGAAAAAAACCTCTGATTGCAATTAATCTAGCAGGGGACAGCCCATAGCAAGATTCCTGCAAGATGAAATGTTTGAGAAACTCAGAAACCTGTACTTCACATTGACATGAGTTCTCCCATGTATATTGAATAGGATGTGTTGTTTGGTCCCCTCCACTGATAACAGTGTGAGGGATTATAAGTAATGGAGGCAGATTCATATAACATTGTGGGGAAGAAGAGCAAAGGAGCAGTAGGTCAGAAGTTTGGAAAGGATGTGGTCCACTATTTGGTGTGGAGTAAGATCTGTCAATGGTGTGTCCTAGGAAAACGGCATGGTTGCATAATGTTTGTGTCCCCATGAAAGACCCTGCTTCCCCAAGAGAGATTCAGATAGTGCATGTGAGGGAATGGCTGTATCTCATGGGACAGACTAGGAAACAAGGCCATCAGTGAACCTAGAACTGTTTTGAGTTGTGGCCACAAAAATGTTGTCCCTATGTTTTTGTGATCTTTCCATCTCTATAACTATAGGTGATGTCAGCCCACGGGTTGGAAAGATATCATCTCACAGTCATGTAAAATTCTCACTGAGCAGGAGGGAAGATCCAACAGGCTCAGAGAGGCAGTCCAGGGTCATGGAACTGGTAAGTGGTGGAGCTGAGTGACAGAAATGACTTTACCTGCCAAGTCGCAGAGGCTGGGCATTTGGAGTTGAGTTGGCTGCCCCAGCACACAGTGTGGCTGTGAGCACTGGAATGCCCTACATGGGCCATCTTTCCTCCTGTCCATCACCCTCTGTGCTTCCCATGTGTAGATGTACCTTGGTTTTTATGAACATCTGAATACAGCACTGGAAGGAATCCATTGATTTATTCCCTTAATGCATGATTTCCTGGGGCCAGGCCTTGTCAGTGAAGACAGAAAGTTAATGAAGGCAGGCAGTTTTCTTGTAGGGAATGTTTGGACACAGAGGTTCTGGCTGCTGTGCTGTGGTCAGGAGGTTGGAGGAAGGTGACATTATGGTCTCATGTCTATTTTTAGTGCCCTGGCCCTGCTATCACAAAGTTCCACAAATGGTAATTTGGCACATTCTAAGTGTCAAAAGGACCAGGTATTCTCTGAAAGATGTAGGAGAGGGTCCTTCCTTCCTCTTCCTACTTCTGGTGTCTGCTAGAAACCTGTAGAAATAGTTCCTTCTCTTGTAGATACACAACTCTGGACTAGGTCTCCAGCCTTACACAGCTGCCTCTGTGGGTCTGTCCACTTCTCTCTATTTTCCTATGGATCTAAGTATGATCTATAACAAAAAGCTTTCCCACATTTATTTCATTCATGAGATCTCCACTTTGTGAATTCTCTGGTGTTGTAACTGAGATTTTGGCAGAGCTTTCCAACACTCATTACACTCTTTAAGATTTCCCTCAAATGTGAATTCTCTGATGTCTTACGGGTTATGACTTCTAATTAAAGGCATTTCCACATGATTACTTTCAAAGGGTTTATTCCCTATATGAATTTGAAGATGTGCAATGAGGACTGAATTATGGTAAAAGTCTTTCTGAGTCATTACATTCAAAAGATTTCTTGCATGTTAATTCTTTTATGTTTGATGAGGTATGATTGGTACCAGAGGCATATCCACACTTAATGTTTGGTGAGATGTAACTTGCACAAAAAGGCAATGTTGTGGAAAATTCCTGGTGTGAATTCTCTGATGTTTTATTAGTTGTGAATTATAGCAACAGGCTTTCCACCATCATTACATTCATGATGTTGTTATCTAATGATGTGTAGCTTATATTCAAAACATTTTTCACAGTCGTTGCATTCATAAGGTTTCTCCCCTGTGGGAATTCTGTGAGGAGTTGAGGCTTGAATTTTGGCCAAAGACTTTTCCACAGTCATTGCATTCATACGGTTATTCCTCTGAGCTAATTCTCTGATGAATTATGATGTTTGACTTCTTGCCAAAGGCTTTTCCACAGTTTTTACATTCATAAGGTTTTCTCCTGGGTGAATTTTCTGATGTGGGATGAGATCTGACTGCCTCCAAAAGACTTTTCCACACTCATTACACTCATAAACTTTCTGCCCTGTGTGAATTCTCTGACTTATGAGGCTTGATTTGTGACCAAACCCTTTTGCACAGTCATTGCTTTCATAGGATTTCTCCTTTGTGTGACTTCTCTGATGTCTGATGAGTTCTGACTTGCGCAAAAAGGCTTTTCCACAGTCATTACATTCATAAGATTTCTCCACCGTGTGGGTTCCCTGATGATTTATGAGGGTTGACTTTTGGCCAAAGGCTTTTTCATAGTTATTGCATTCATAAGGTTTTTCCCCCGTCTGAATTCTCTGATGTTGAATGAGATGTGACTTATGCAGAAAGGCTTTTGCACAGTCACTACATTCATAAGGTTTCTCCCCTGTGTGAATTTTCTGATGTCTGATAAGATCTTTCTTCCACATAATTTTTTTCCACAGTCATTGTATTCATAGGTTTTATCTACTGTGTGAATTCTCTGATGTTTGACGATAATTTTTCAACAGAAAGGTTTTTCCACGGTCATTACATTCATAAGGTTTTTACTGTGTGAATTCTCTGATGTAGAATAAGATGTGACTTATGCATAAAGACTTTGCCATTACCTTCATAATCTTTCTGCCCTGTGTGAATTCTCTGATGAGTTATGAGGTTTGACTTCTGGCCAAAGGCTTTTCCACAGTCATTGCGTTTCTCCCCTGTGTGACTTCTCTGATGCTTTGTGAGGTTTGACTTATGGCAAAAGGCGTTTCCACAATGATTACATTCATAAGGTTTCTCCCCTTTGTGAATTCTCTGATGATATATGAGGTTTGACTTCTGGCCAAAGGATTTTCCACAGTCATTAAATTCATAAGGTTTCTCGCCCGTGTATTCTCTGATGATTTATGAGGTTTGACTTCTGGCCAAAGACTTTCTCACAGTCATTACATTTATAAGATTTCAACCCTGTGTGAATTCTCTGATGTCTAATGAAATCTGACTTCTGGTAAGTGATTTCTACACATTCAATACACACATGAGGGTTTTCCACTACGTGAGTGCTGTGATGGAGGATATGGCAGAATTTATTACTGAATGATTTCCCACAAGTTTTACAGGAATAGGATTTCTTCCCTATATTTGATCTATGATTCATTCTAACATGTGATTGGTAAATGACAGATTCCACAGGCTTGATGTATTTATAAACTTTCTCTCTTCCAGGACTTTGTTGATGCTTACTGAGGTTAGAATTTTTATGGAAATCTTGTACTACTTGAGTTGTCTTGCCAATAGTGGCAGTTGACTTATTATAAGTTTCTACAATAAAAAGCTTCTCAGATTCACAAAATATATTCTTCCTTTTGAAAATTTTCCCTTGTCCAATTTGTTCAAGTACCTGCTCCACGGTTTGAATTTTGTGCTGTTGGTTAAGAGGCTCACAGAATTGGAGACCATTCCCAGGTATCTTGGTAGCATCAAATTTCACTCCAGCTTGTAGTTGATCAGGCCCACAATGGGATACACATTGTGACATATATTGCATTCTTCAGGTTTAATTCCTGAATAGTTTCTTTTTTTGATATTCAGTGTTGGAATATGGCTTGAACTAAAATTAAGTTTTTCCTTAATTTAATCATCTTGGGAGTTGATGTTTTATTATTTTTCATAACATCCTGATTCAGATTTTTGTCCTGACTTTTTTGGTAGATCTTACTCAGATCATTCCTTTCCAAGGCATCTGAAGTGAGAAAAAATTAATGATATCACTAAATCAAATATAATTGTTTCTCCTGGCATACCCATGTAAAATGAATGAAGTTACTTATACCCAAGAGGGATAAGATTTTAACAAAATGAGTACAAGATAATATATATGAACATTATACAGTTTTTTTTACATAACACATTAATATATTAAATTGTACCTATAGATTTCACAATGTTCATTAATGATCATATTTACTACCAGAATTTTTTTCAACTATGGCTGAGTGGTTTTTGTGGTAAGATGCCATAAGTCACTGCACAGGATGTCTGTATCCAAAAACAGTACCAGTTTAATCTCAGCCTACCCTGCTTCCAATACAGCTCTCTGCTAATGTATACTGGGAAGTAGCAGATAATGGTTCATGTGCTTGTGATCCTGTGATACATCAGAGATGTGTATTTGGAATTCCAGGCTTTGGGCTTCAGATTAGTCAGACTAACTGTTGTAGGTTTTTGGGGAGGGAGCTAATATAAAATCTCTTTCTCACTGCCATTCTGACTTGTACAAAGATAAAACAACTATATTTTAAAGTTGGACAAATATTTAATAAAAATACTCACTTATTACCTAGAAAACAAATTTTCCCTGTCCTTTTTAAAAAAGATCTATTATGTGTTTTACAGAGAGAGGTAGAGCCAGAGACATTGAGAGTGAGAGGTTTTCCATCCACTGGTTCACTCTCTAAACAACCACAAAGGCCAGAGCTCAGCTGATCCGAAGCCAAGAGCCAGGAGCATTTTTTGGGTCTCCCACGCTGGTGCAGAAACCCAAGGGCTTGGGCCATCTTCTAATGCTTTCCCAGGGCATGAGAGAGTTGGAGCAGAAGTGGAGCAGCTGGGACTTACACCAATGACCATATGGGATGCCACCTCTAGATGCCAGGGCTTTAATGCACTGCACCACAGTGCCAGACACCACTGCCCTTTTTTTTTCAGTTCAGTTTTTTAAAATATGTGTTTTGTACTTCTTTAATATTTCAACTATCAATATGGGAAAGTTTTACTAGATTATTTACTTGCATGTGGAGAAGAGTGAAATGTGTCTGTATGCCAAGCAGGATCACATTTAAGGGACAAGATTTGAATATGTGGTTGTCTCATGTTCTGTCTTCCCAGGAAAACAGCATTTGTGGGAAACCTGACATCCTCAGCTTCTTCGAACTACAACAGTTACAGAAAGTCCCAATAGACCACCTTTGCTATACATTCCCATGTTTAAAGAATTTGTTTCTGCAACCCAGAGTCTGCTCAATTATTGAAAATTGATTTCTAACTCATTGTGAAGACATCAGCCCTGGTTACCTCCTCTCATTTCTTTCTATAAACACTCCTCTGTGATAATTTGAGTTTCTGGAGGTTTTGATCAGTTGTTGATTTTCACATAAAACTTCATTTCCTTTGCCTTTACCAGAGATACTGATCTCCATAGATACTGTAGAATGTCTGTGTCTGAATCACAAGACCAGCTGTCTTCAGGAGTAAGACTTGGGAAAAACTCATGGAAAGAGCACCAGTCAGCATCTGCTGCACTGCTTCTACCTTGGCCTCCCTGCCCATTATGTGCAGACTGACCTGGAAGGCTCTGATGTAGGTATTCTTCCCCCATCCAGGGCTCTGCTCCTTGCTCCAACTTGAAGATCAAGTCAGATTTAGTCATGCAGTGCCCTATTAATGGAAATAATGTAACACTTTGTGAAATCACTATCTTGGGTTAATTAAAGGAGTACAGCTTGGTCCAGGAGCTATGCAACCAGTGCTCCAAACTGAATTCCTTCTCAGGTGGTAGATATTCAAAGTATTCATGGACTCAAATTCAATACCTGTCCCTCATTAAACTATAAATACTGCTCACTTATTTGTCAAATATTGAGAAAATGTTACCATTGGGCATGTGATGAGTATCACTCACCCAAGGAGAGCAGGCTGCTGTAGGTCTCCAGCATCACATCACATCACAGCCAGGTCTTCAAATGCTATCATCATCTGTGATACAACACTCCTGGTCAACAGGTCAACTCTGTCATATAACAGACAATGGCAGTTGTATATCTTCTACATGAGTATGAAGGAAGAAGGAAGGATGTCATTTCATTTCAGATTTGTTGAGCATTTGGACATCTACACAGAAGCATTCAATAGGGGGTCAAACCTATGGTATTAAGGCTGTGAAAGATCCCCAAGCTGGAGGGAAACAGGAATTTCTGTTCACAAAGGCCAGACTATGTCAAGGGCAATTGCACAGTAGGCTGAAAGGGGGACAGCAGTCACTCTGGAATGAGCAATGTTCAGAAGAATGTAGAAGCATTCAGGGAAAAAGACAAGAAACCATCAGGGAAGTTATGAAGGGACTGAACAGAGAAGAATTTCCAGGAAAACACCATGCACAGTCAATGCAATTATGGCAGAGAAAAAATATTTTTTTTAACTTTTATTTAATGAATATAAATTTCCAAAGTACGATTTATGGATTACAATGGCTTCCCCACCATACCGTCCCTCCCACCCACAACCCTCCCCTTTCCCACTCCCTCTCCCCTTCCATTCACATCAAGATTCATTTTTGATTATCTTAATATACAGAAGATCAGCTTAGTATACATTAAGTAAGGATTTCAACAGTTTGCTCTCACACAGAAACATAAAGTGAAAAATAATAGATGATTTTTTTTTAAATGATGATGAAATCAGATCAGGCCTATTGTCATGTTTAATCCCAGTGAGAGTCAAGTTGGGAGTTGATAATTTCTTTTTTTTTTTTTACAGAGGATCAGTTTAGTATGCATTAAGTAAAGATTTCAACAGTTTGCACCCCCATAGAAACACAAAGTGAAATATATTGTTTGAGTACTCGTTATAGCATTAAATCTCAATGCACAGCACATTAAGGACAGAGATCCTACATGAGGAGTAAGTGCACAGTGACTCCTGTTGACTTTACCAATTGACACTCCTGTCTATGGCATCAGTAATCTCCCTATGCTCCAGTCATGAGTTTCCAAGGCTATGGAAGCTCTCTGAGTTCTCCGATTCTTATCTTGTTTAGACAAGGTCATAGTCAAAGTGGAGGTTCTCTCCTCCCTTCAGAGAAAGGTACCTCCTTCTTTGAAGACCTGTTCTTTCCACTGGGATCTCACTCACAGAGATCTTTTGCCAGAGTGTCTTGGCTTTCCATGCCTGAAATACTCTCATGGGCTTTTCAGCCAGATCCGAATGCCTTTAGGGCTGATTCTGAGGCCAGAGTGCTATTTAGGACATCTGCCATTCTATGAGTCTGCTGAGTATCTCACTTCCCATGTTGAATCACTCTCCCCTTTATTTATTCTATCGGTTAGTGTTAGCAGGTACTAGACTTGTTTATGTGCTCCCTTTGACTCTTAGTCCTTTCATTATGATCAATTGTGAACTGAAATTGATCACTTGGAATAGTGAGATGGCATTGGTACATGCCACCTTGATGCGATTGAATTGGAATCCCCTGGTATGTTTCTAACTCTACCATTTGGGGCAAGTCAGCTTGAGCATGTCCCAAATTATACATCTCTTCCCTCTCTTATTCCCACTCTTATGTTTAACAGGGATCACATTTCAGTTAATTTTCAACACTTAAGAATAACTGTGTGATAATTACAGAATTAAACCAGTCATATTAAGTAGAACAGACAAAAAAACTACTAAGAGGGATAATGTATTAAGTTGTTCATTAACAGTCAGGGCTATGCTGATCAAGTCACCGTTTCTTATAGTGTCCATTTCACTTCAACAGGTTTCCTTTTTGGTGTTAAGTCAGTTGTCACCGATCAGGGAGAACATATGGTATTTGTCCCTTTTGGGACTGGCTTACTTCACTCAGCATGATGTGTTCCAGATTCCTCCATTTTGTTGCAAGTGACTGGATTTCGTTGTTTCTTACTGCGGTATAGTATTCTAAAGAGTACATATCCCATAATTTCTTTATCCAGTCTTCCGTTGATGGGCATTTAGGTTGGTTCCAGGTCTTAGCTATTGTGAATTGAGCTGCAATAAACATTAGGGTGCAGACCGCTTTTTTGTTTGCCAATTTAAATTCCTTTGGGTAAATTCCAAGGAGTGGGATGGCTGGGTTGAATGGTAGGGTTATCTTCAGGTTTATGAGGAATCTCCAGACTGACTTCCATAGTGGCTTGACCAGTTTGCATTCCCACCAACAGTGGGTTAGTGTCCCTTTTTCCCCACATCCTCGCCAGCATCTGTTGTTGGTAGATTTCTGCATGTGAGCCATTCTAACCGGGGTGAGGTGAAACCTCATTGTGGTTTTGATTTGCATTTCCCTGATTGCTAATGACCTTGAACATTATTTCATGTGCCTGTTGGCCATTTGGATTTCCTCTTTTTTTTTTTTTTTGACAGGCAGAGTGGACAGTGAGAGAGAGAGACAGAGAGAGAAAGGTCTTCCTTTGCCGCTGGTTCACCCTCCAATGGCCGCCGCTGCAGCCGGCGCACCGCGCTGATCCTGGCAGGAGCCAGGAGCCAGGTGCTTTTCCTGGTCTCCCATGGGGTGCAGGGCCCAAGCACCTGGGCCATCCTCCACTGCACTCCCTGGCCATAGCAGAGAGCTGGCCTGGAAGAGGGGCAACCGGGACAGAATCCGGCGCCCCAACCGGGACTAGAACCCGGTGTGCCGGTGCCGCAAGGTGGAGGATTAGCCTATTGAGCCACGGCGCCGGCTTGGATTTCCTCTTTTGAAAAATGTCTATTGAGGTCCTTGGCCCATCTCTTAAGTGGGTTGTTGGTTTTGTTTTTGTGGAGTTTCTTGATCTCTTTGTAGATTCTGGTTATTAACCCTTTATCTGTTGCATAGTTTGCAAATATTTTTTCCCATTCTGTCGGTTGTCTCTTCACTCTCCTGACTGTTTCTTTTGCAGTACAGAAACTTCTCAATTTGATGCAATCCCAATAGTTGATTTTGGCTTTGACTGCCTGTGCCTCCCGGGTCTTTTCCAGAAATTCTTTGCCTGTGCCAATATCTTGAAGGGTTTCTCCAATGTTCTCTAGTTACTTGATGGTGTCAGGTCGTAGATTTAGGTCTTTAATCCATGTTGAGTGGATTTTTGTGTAAGGTGTTAGGTAGGGGTCTTGCTTCATGATTCTGCACGTGGAAATCCAATTTTCCCAGCACCATTTATTGAATAGACTGTCCTTGCTCCAAGAATTAGTTTTAGATCCTTGATCAAATATAAGTTGGCTGTAGATGTTTGGGTTGATTTCTGGTGTTTCAATTCTGTTCCATTGGTCTATCCATCTGTTTCTGTACCAGTACCATGCTGTTTTGATTACAACTGCCCTGTAGTATGTCCTGAAATCTGGTATTGTGATGCCTCTGGCTTTGTTTTTGTTGTACAAAAATATTTTAAAAGAGACAGTAGGCGTTTAACTTAGTGTTTATGATGCCAGCTCAGATACTCTATCTCTGCATCAAATTTCCAAAGTTGGATTTCAGTGCCACCTCCAGTTTCCAGCTCCCAGCTAATGCAGACCAGGGGAAGCAATGGTGATGCCAACCAAGAGGGAGGCCTAGATTCCATTCCTGACTCTTGGCTTCAGTTGTGCCCCACCCCTGCTTGATATGATTATTTAGGCAGTGAAGAAGTGCATGGGAGCTCTCTAGCTTTCTCTCAGTCCATCAACTTCTTTCTCTATCAAGCTCATAAATATTTTTAAATAAGGGAGGAGATTCAAGAAGGAATAGAAAGTAGCTTTTGCTTTTTTTATAATGCCCTGACCTAAAGTGCCGGCATCCCAATGGGTGCTGTTTTGAGACACAGCTGCTTTACTTCTGATCTAGCTGGTCTGCTCTGACCTGGGAAAGCAGTAGAAGAAGGCCCAAATGATTGGGCCCTTGAACCCATGTGGGAGACCCAGAAGAAGCTGCTGGCTCCTGGCTTCAGATCAGCGCAGCTCCGGACATTGCAACCAATTGGAGAGTGAACCATCGAATGAAAGATTTCTCCTCTCTTCTCTCTGCCTCTCCTCTCTCTGGGTAACTCTGACTTTCAAATAAATAAATAAATCTTTTAAAAAAATCTTAAAACATAAAAGAACCTGCAGTAGATTATTTCCCCCACATAGTCCTTACTCTACCTTGGAATCAAGTTCAACTCCTCAAACTATTAAGGACTGCATTACTCTAACAATTAAAAAATAAATGCAACTTATTTGTGGTTTAGCCCTAGGTAACTCTTTCCCTTGCAGAATGCTAAGTGTTTATTTCCAGGGTGGCACTAAAACACTGCCCACTACATCATCTGTATAACACTAAAGACTGTATTGGACATCATGACCCAAAATTTAGAATATTGTCCTTGAAGCTTCAACTGAAACCATATAACAAATATATATTTTGCTATGGCAACAGAAAGATGAGAGACCAAATTGCCTTATCTTGGATAACTGCAATGCTTGATAGTCATGATAAATTCATCATTCATCTTGTTTCTTTATATTCCCTGAGAATAAAATTTATCTTTATTTTTCCATTTCCATTAATAAATTATTATAAATCTAAAAAGAAAACTGACAGCAAGCTGGGGAATAATTACGAAAACCACTTACAGGGGCCAGTGCTATCACACAGTGGATTAAAGCCCTACCCACAGCCAGCATCCCATATGAGTGCCAGTTTGAGTCCCAGCTTCTCCACCTCAGATACAGCTCCTGCTAATATGACTGGGAAAGTACTGGAGTATGACTCAAGTGCATGGACCCCTGCAACTATGCAGGAGACCCAGAAGAATCTCCTGCCTCTTGTCTAGATTGGCTCTGCTCTGACCATTGTGGCCTTTTGCGGAATGAACCAGCAGATGGAAGACTCTCTTTCTCTCTCTCACTTTCTTTCTCTATCACTCTCTATGACTCTGTCTTTCAAATGAATGAAACAAATATGCTTTAAAAAGTACATAATTTGCAGGTGATGTATTAATTTTCTTTGCTCTTTGAAATATCTGGAAGTGCCCTGAATCATACCTGGAAGAAAATGCAAATGCAAGGATTTAAAAGAAAATTTCTTGGCTTTCCTT